GCGAGACCTTCCCCCTACAAATCTCCCAGAGGAGAGAACTGCCCTCCATAGACCTCCCAGAGGCGAAAACCGCCCCCCTACAAATCCCAATAGGCTTTCCAGAGGAGAGAACTGCCCCCAACAGACTTCCCAGAGGAGAAAGTTGCCCCCCGTAGGCTTCCCAGAGGAGGGAACTGCCCCGTAGGCTTCACGTGAGAATAATAACGTGCCGGGTTAGTGTGATCCTAGTTCATTTTATTACTTCATTGCTGTGCTGTATGTGTATAGGTTATTGCTGTGCTGTATGTGTATAGGCCAATGTAGTTGGATCTGTATGTGCGTTATAATTAATAGATTTAAAAAAATTTTGATCCAAAACGAAAATTGTAATCATTACCAGCCCTAATTTTTAAGATTCTTTTTTCATGGAAGGGTACCAACAAATTTGCATGTGTCTGAGTGTATATGTGTGTATATGTGTGTGTGTGTGTGAGTGAGTGTATATATACAGTATACATATCTATCTATATATATATATCTATATAGATATATAGATATATATATATATATATATATAAATATATATGAGGATACTAGTATCAGTGCCGATTCCGAGTATTTGGGACGAGTACAAATGCTCCGATGCCTAGCCCGATACTCCCGGTATCAGGAAGCCGGGCAGCGCGTCATTACACACTGCCCAGCTTCCTGATTGGCCAGGAAGGCGGTCCCATGCTCCCTGATTAGTATGGAGCCGGCTTCCTGATTAGTCGGAACCTGGCCAATCAGGAAGCCAGGCGCCGTGTAATGACGCGACACCCAGCTTTCTGATTGGTCCGGGAAGCCAGCTTCACGCTCCCTCGTCACCTCATGACGAGGGAGCATGGAGCTGGCTTCCCGGCCAATCGGGAAACCAGGCGCCGCGTCAATACACAGTGCCCGGCTTCCTGAATTGTCCAGAAAGCCGGCTCCATGTTTTCTCGTCACCTAGTGACGAGGGAGCATGGGGACGGCTTCCCTGCTAATCGGGAAGCTCGGTGGGGAGTCATTACACGCCGCCTGGCTTCCTGAATGGGACTTCCGGTATCGGCGAGTACCGGGAAAAAATATATCGGTACTCGATACCCAAATACCGGTATCAGTGCATCCCTTTTATATATATAATCTTCTTCATACACAATGCCAGAGATACAGCAGAGTCTCGTGTAAGAGGAGCTTTCTCTACATCCTTCCTATGCACACGACAGGATCACTCCCCTGGTCCTATGGTGTCACCCCGTCGCTGGTGATGGGGATTCTGCCGCGTTCCTGCCACTGAGGAGACAACGCTAAAGCCCCGTTCACATTGAGCGATTTATTGCGCGGTAATTCCCGCGGTTTCGCGGCTATTTACCACGCGATATCGCTCTTCAATGCATCTCAATGGGGCAAAGGGTCCTGCTGTCGCGGGTCGTGTGTCGCTACAGCAGGACCCTTTTTGGAGCGGATTTTGCCGCGATTCTCGCTTGCTTAATGCAAGCATTTGCGCGATATCGCGCGACAAATCGTACGATATAGCGCAAAATGCAAATCGCGCAAAAAAACGCGCGATTTGCGAACCGAGGAATGTGAATGGGGCCTAAGGGTGCCGGTAGGAAGTCTCTTATGTGATTCTGTCATTGGTGAAGAACGACACGACCTCTAATGTGACATGGTCACCCGTGTACAAAGCGGTATTCAGCAGAACACTTGTTATGTCTGCCTCCTATTTGCAGACTGTTACTCGTTGGCCTTTGGAAGTTTAGCACCCCTTGTTATCTATTTTTAGGGGGGCTCTCCTGCCATCCAGGATCCTCCGGAGCTACCCTTGAGGGGGCTTGTTCACACGACGTCCGGATTCTGTTCTGACAAATCCGTGCGCTCCTGCACTAAAAATGCATCCCAATGTATCCCTGTGTGTTTTTTTTTTTTTTAACAATGCGTCTTTATGAAGGTTTTTTGCATATGATAAAGACAGGATTGCATAGAAATAAGTCTTTTCCCCCTAGTTCTCCTTAGGGTAACGGGAGGACACAAACTAGAACATATTTCATTCTACATATATCTGAGTCATAAGAGTTAGCAATCTTTGCATAGCGGAACTATTACAACTCTACGATGACGATGGTCATGTCTGATGAAGGGACCCTGAGTGGCCCCAAAACGTTGCAATGTGACGAGATGTGTGCTCATCAATAAAATGATCATTGCTTGGAGATTGAACCACGGTGTGCTGGTGACTTACTTTACTACTTGAATCTGAAGCAGCGCCATCCGCAGTCACTACAGCACCCAGCACATGGGACATACCAGTAAGGAGTTTGGTAGGATTGTTCTGCATTCTAGGCTCTCTTTATAGAGACAGCAGAGGTCTATTAGGCCTCTGATCTCTTTCCAGCCCTATAATACAGATCATCAAACACAGGATTTTCTTTTCGGGTCGAATGTTCTTCAAGGGGTTAAATAAAGGAGACTGTCACAGGTCGGCTCAGTAGATTGGGAAGTGAGCGAACACATACCAGCGTTCGCTCACCTCTCGATCCTGTCACGGCTCTCTGCCGTGTCAGGGGAGGGGCTGGTTTCCCCCCTCCCCGCTCCCATCCGCCAGCGCTGACTGGCGGAACGGACGTGGGAGGGGGCAGGTACAGCTGGCTCTGCCTCTAGATAGGCAGAGCCAGCTGTCACTCACGAAGCTGGGCGGATCCCGGCACAATTGTCGGGATTCGCTTCAGCTGCGCCGTCTCAGTATATAGGGAGCTTCAGCTCGCAGTATACTGAGCCTAGAGTGACGGGAGGACGCTAGTTTGTGTCCTCCCGTTACCCTAAGGAGAACTATGGGGAAAAGACTTAACCCCATAGTTCTCCTTTAAAGAAAAGAGTGAATCTGGAAAACACTGCATAATGGCCATTAGGTGGAGCTGAAGATCATGAGTAAGGAATACATGTTAGTAATGAGATACAATGTTACAATTCAAGGGACCACTGCAGGGAATGAGCAGACAATTTGTAAGTTTTGCTACTACGTGGGATTGCAATGGTTACATTTATATGGTCATAGTTGGGTTTGCATTTGAGGACATTCGTGTGTTTGCCTTGATAGGGTAACCTGAAAAATGACAGATGGCATCTGATTGGGTTCTGTGGGGCAACACAGGGCAGTCCTGTCCTCATCTATCCCCTCTAATCTCTGCAGGCACTTCATAGATACGGCTGGAAAATGTCTTTGATTTGGCTTCAGGTCGGACAGTGCGGCAACCAGATCGGCCAGGAGTGGTGGCAGATACTCGCCAACAATGCCGCGGAAGCTGACCGGTAAGAGAGGATGAAAGAGGTGACACTGTGGAAAGCAGAAATCGCCGGCACTCAGTAAATATCTTTGATGTCCATTTAATCGGAACAATCGTAACATTGTCGCCCTGATGAAGGGAATCCCGTGCGGTCCCGAAACGTCGTTATTTTGGACATGACAATTGACGATTGGTCCGATTTAAATGGACATCAAAGATATTTACTGAGTGCCGGCGATTTCTGCTTTCCTCTGGTTGTTGCACGGTGCAATGCGTGATTGTGACTGCGAGCACCACTACAGGTACTTGGGCCGGGAGCGTTGTGAGGAGTGCAGAGGGACTATTTTTTACAGAGGTGACACTCTGACAATTCCCAGGGTCTGGTGTACATACTGGATGCGTGCCATAGAAGGGAGCACAAGGAGTGAAACTTAATATCTGAGACAAAGTATTTAAGACGCATACATAAATACATATAATGTTACAAGCAAGATATCATTTTCTATGGCTTAAACAAACTTCTTTTTTTTTTACCATAAAAACCTTTTTTTT